TGAACTACGTTTGATCTGATTTCCTTTTGGATACGTAGGCAACCCTTGATGGGTCCGGTCTCTATCAAATAAATTTTTTTATTTCCCATGGTAATTCAAAACACTTCTTTACAAATTCAAATCTAGACTAATTGACAATCCATGAACATAATTGACAACTTGAATTCGAAGTCGAGCCTTAATGTCCAAATACAAGACAATCATTTTTTTTGGAACTTACAATTTTTCTTTGAGTGAAGCAGGATCAAAAATTTCCCCCCCTAATAAACTGGGGCAGAATTTTTGAGGAAACCTCAAAAATTTTAACAGAGATATTTAACAAAGTGAGTATATATCTTATACTCTAAACTGGGGCAGAAATTTTTGAGAAATCCTCAGAAATTTCATCACAACGGAATGCAACTCTAAAGGCAAAACAAGCACAGGTATGACCATCTCTTGCCTTTTGAATTTACGATTTTTCTCTGGATGCAGAAATAACTTATATGAGCGTACTGTCATATTTAGGAGCTACAATGTAAGTCATACTATCCTCAGATTATTTTTTTTAAGAGGCTATTATCAACTTTCTTCTACGACTGACTGAATATATAAGCTCTCACACCTTATTATAATACGATATTTAGGCTTTTCCGCCTTACAATAGGATGTTTAGGCTTTTCTGCCTTAAAATGCGATATTTAGGCTCTTCCACCTTACAATAGGATTTTAGGCTCTTCCGCCTTACAATAGGATGTTTAGGCTCTTCTGCCTTACAATACGACATTTAGGCTCGTCAGCCTTACAATATGACATTTAGGCTCTTCCGCCTTACAATAGGATTTTAGGCTCTTCCGCCTTACAATAGGATGTTTAGGATCGTCTGTCTTACAATACGATATTTAGGCTCGTCTGTCTTACAATACGACATTTAGGCTCGTCTGCCTTACAATACGACATTTAGGCTCCTCCACCTTACAATAGGATATTTAGGCTCTTCCGCCTCACAATAGGATGTTTAGGCTCGTCTGCCTTACAATACGACGTTTAGGTCCTTCCGCCTTACAATAGGATGTTTAGGATCTTCCGCTTTACAATAGGATGTTTAGGCTCGTCTGCCTTACAATACGACATTTACTCTCGTCTCTCCCTATAACCAGACATTTTGCTTATATTATTATATGTTTATACTATCAAATATTTTGGAGTTTGACGTTATTCTTCAGAGATGGGTTTCAATCCTTCAAGAAGTTAAAGACTATCAAGGTTTGCACTACGTCTCAAACAGATACGCTTTTTATCACCGCTTGTCTATTTAGAACTCATATTTTATTATTATTGGTCGTACTTTATCTATTTATAAGCTAACATTTTATCTAGAATTTGCAGATATGATCAATCGCCCTTGATTACAATTATCATGCTATCATCTATCAACGAAGACCCTATCAATTCTTTGCTACTCATACTCTGAACCGTGCTCAAAGGCTGATTACCTTATTTTATCATTCTCTTCTCGCTTCTCTGTCATGCTCTTTTACCCACTCTATCTCTCTTTTCTCGCTACTCTAATCTTATCCATTCAAGCCGATATCGTGCCTTTCAAATACCTTAGCGCTCTTTCAATTTTTAAGAGTTTCATTTGATCTTGAATCTAGAACTACACACGACCTGATTCTCGTATAACCAGAGATATGTAGGCGGCTTAATACCAAAGTCTCGGTCGTACCCTTTTCAACTCTATATTGTTTCAATTGATCCAACTGACATCTCTCGTCGGTCGGACAAAATCGGCTACTAAGTCAACGTTGGTTGCCTGACAATTCATTCTTCATTCTCAATCAACCAAGGGGCAGAGTCGCCATTCTGTTGCGCCCCATTTTCGCAGAAAACGGGTTTTGTGCACGACCTAACAACTCTTTTGGGATTTTGAGTTTGGAGTCGCCACCTAACGAATTAAGGCGCGTTAGGGCACCTATCTAACCTAACTAAGTCTAACTAAGGTCAACGAGCTAGAGAATTAGGGTAAGGGTTCAAATTACCTTGAGGGGAAGGTGTTAGGCATCCCTCGAGGTCCACAAGTGTGGGTCCCAGCCGTATCTCATGCAATCTATGTGGGGGTTACAAGTAGCAATCAAGGTCACTTCATTATTATTCATTAATATGCTGGCTAAGTGATAACAAGTATAAAACAATTAAGACTATTTTATTAATTTAAACATGCGAGGCTAGAAGACAGCAATAATAAACAATCAAGTTTATTTTTTATTTATTTAACATACGAGGCTATGTTATTGACAAAATTGGCAAATATTAAGCAATTAATATGTGCAAAAGTAAAATTTTGAAAATTGAGTAAGTTTTGAATATGAATTTTTATTCTTGAAAAAATG